TTTGTCTTTTACGACATTCAATTGAATTTCAGTTGGAGAAAAATTTAATTTTTCCCATGAGAGGGAAAGAGAAGAAGACAGAAATGTTCGTGCGAAGTAGAGGAATGTCTGAAAGAAGGAAAGAAAAATCGTGAGGATGAGCTGAATTGAAAATTCGACAGCGCGAATGACGCAAGTAGATTTTTCGGTACAGTCGGGCGCACGCGTAAGATACATAGGATGTGCCGGGCCGGAAATTCCGGCATCCTGGTGACTGGATGAAACAACGTTAATAAGAAATGTGCTCTCGGGCAATGTGCAACGTGTACCGAGAAATTCAACGATGCAACTATGTCCTTCTCCGTTCTATCTCGCTGCCAGTTTGGGCTAATGTCGGGTCGCGCATTTCAGAGAAACGACATTCGCAGGCTGTCGCAATGTCGTTTTATTGTGGAATCGCTCTTATTCGCACGAGTATAAAATATTCCAACTATTTTAAAATTCAATAAGCGAACTGGATAGAATCTTTTTGTACGTTTTTCTCTACTTTTTTTTCATGCTTCCGTCTGTTTTCAAATAAGAATATGGTACATATCGGATATAGCGGTAATGTGTAACGGAATGTTCTAATAGATTTAAATTAATATTTTGATTTTATTAAAAAGTGCTTGATATATATTTAACTGTATTAATTTAAGCTTTAAGTAATTTTTAATGGAAGATAATTACTGTTGCTATATTTTATCTAATACGAAACTGATCCAGTAATAAAAAGCTAAAAAAGTCTAGACTCTCTTCCTTGGGGTAAATAAACTTTTCAAGTTGAACATTGCAGCATATGAAAAAATATCTGCGAATGTAATGAAGAAGAAGCACGTAGAGTTTTGTAAAACAAAGTACGTGGATTATAAAATGTACCTTGCGCGAGTAAGTAAGATTAATATGTAGCGAAGTAGAGAGCAATTGTTTTCACACGCATTGTGTGTACAAATACTCGCGTGTATTCTTTGATTACATAGAAATAAGAGGAGAATAAAATTTCTTAGTAGAATTTTCTTGCTGTTAACAACACCGCTCGACCCAGATCCTGGTGATGGATCGATTGATTGCGCTGACAGATGATTCCTTTACATGACTTCTTACTTACGCGAGATGATGCGGCATAATTTGATCGAGCACTCGAGTATTTGTACGTGTTCGTATCAGCTCCTAATGCCAACTTGATGAATTGAGTATCAGAGTTAATTTCTTTCTGGAAATTGCAAGTAATATATTGCAATTTTCCTAAGATTTTCCTAAGTGGAATATAAAGTTATATGAACGTTGTATTGCAAAATTGAAATCCAGAGTAAATTGGTTGTTAAATTCCGTCGATTACAGAGGCGTGATAATGTTTTATCACATTAAATGGATGAATAAACCTCCAATCTGAACAGATATATCTTTATCACATGTGATCTCACGTTAATTTAAACATCGTCATTGAATTATTTTCAACAATTTCTATCGATACTTACAAAACCCTCGTGATTGAACGTGATATTCATGGACCAGTCGGTTTTTATTAGCTATCTATCAACCCTTTCCGCATCATCCACGAGAACCGCGTCTGTTGCCTATTATACTCTCCATTTCGTGTTAGCCACTAAAGCATGAAATCCTTTGAGCCTGTGTCTGCATATTTTACCAATACCGCAGTCATGTACAAATCGCATTTCTAGTAGCTGTCTTTTATATAATCGAGAAGACGGAAGAGGTAATGATGGCAAATCACAACAGACAAAAAATATAGTATTCAAAATGTCTCAATTTTGAGAAATTTAATACGATTATCATTTTCCTATAATTTTTATATCACAGTAGAATAATTAAGATGAATTACAAAAATAATTTTTTTCAATTCCAAGAAAAAAATAATTCTATATAGTTTTGTTAATATTAAATGCAATTTTCTTGTTTTCAAAATGAGAAGGATTGAGTAAGTTAATGTTTTTTTTTTAACTGAATAAAGTTAAAGTTAAGTTGGCTTTACAAAATTAATAAAGTTAAGTTAAAAGTTGAAGGAATAAAGAACTTAACTTAAGTCAATATTGAATTAAAAAGAAAGTTAATTTTGAAAAAAATTATTTTTTAAATTTAATGTCTTAATTTTTCTTAAAATGAGATTAAATAATTACAATATAGATTATTAAGTAAATTAAATTTTTAATTTTTTTATTCATGTGTGATATATGTATAATATATAACACATAACGATATAACTATATAAGTTATATAACTTTAAAAAAACAGCCAGCATATAGAGAAGATACAAGATTACTTTTTAATAAGTCATAAGAAATTGATCAATTACAATCAAATGCGAGAAAAATATTTGACTGTAATTAGTCAATTTCTTATGACTTAAAGCTTAAAACATCTATTATAGATCCGGATTAAGGCTTATATATAGCATATATAGCATAAAGCATAAACCAATCAGAGGGCTGTATTAGCATCTTAAGAAATTACTTAAGATGGTTTTAAAATATGAACGAATTACGATCGGGCGATCTTTTTTAAATATCTTAGAAAAATAATAAGATATTTAAAAAAGATAAAAAAATGTTTTAACTTAAAAAAAAGTTAAAAAGTTAACGTTTAAAAATAACTTAGTTAAGTTAAAATTTAATGCATTTGAAGTTAACTAAGTTAAAAGTTATTAACTTTTTAACTTTTTTTTTAACTTTTAACATTTTAATTAGTTACTATCCAATTCTAAAAATGAGTAAATATTTATAATAAAGATAATAATATTAAAATAAATAGGAATTTTATATAAATAAAAATAGACTATAATTGTAATTTTATAAATCTGTTAATTATTTGTAACTATTATTGCGTTTAGTTTTGAAACTGAAATTGATCAAATTGAACAAATTTTATTCGTCGCTTTCATTAAATAGATTACAGCAAGGGATCCTTGAGCTCCATCCAGGTCGTCGCTGCCCTAACGAGGCATGCGCCTTTCTCTAAGAGAGATATACATGCAACCCTTTCCTCTGTGTTCCTCTCTCTAAGAGACACTTCGGCAAGCTCCCACTTTGACCCTTAACGACGTAGCACGTGAAATTACATAGTGAAGCTATGTATGATGAAGATCTTGCATCTATCGTAAGCTTTCTGCCTCAATCGCTTCTATACATTTGGAAATTTCATTTTGATTAATTATCTATATATATATTTTCTTTTTGTATACTTATATATTTTGTATGTATAACATTTGTATCCATCTCTATTATTGTTTGCGATTTTAGTAAATCGCGAATAATAAATTTATTAATTAGTATAATTTTAATTAAATTTTATTTATAATATAAATAAAAATTAAAATTTTTAGATAATTCTGTAAGAATTATCACATAAGATTAACTATCGATCAGGAATATCTTTTATAATAGGAAGCAGGGGTGCGTTACGTCACTAATAAAAAGAATATATGCACGTGGGTAGCAAGGGGACCCTCTGTCACTCATCGTTAGGGCATAAATTGTCGCGTGTTGTTGGAAAATCACGGAGATCGGTGGTTGGGAAACAGGCGCCGAGACGTCTCGACGCCGTTTCACTGGCGTCGTCTTCTCCAGGCTCCGGCTTTCTTCCTCCCCCTTCCTCTTTTGTCTGTCCCCTTATATTTCTCTATTGATCTCTTCTTTCATCGTGCAATTGATCGCTCTCCATCCGCCATCTTGCATTACATAATTATGTTACATATAATTATGTACAAAATTACAAGGATATACGTATATTAAGTTTAGGATTTGCTTTTTGTTTTCTATCTGATCCTTAAAAAAAAAAAGAATTAATTAGTGTTCCAATAAATTGGTTAACTATATAGTAACTAATATTTTTCATTAATTATTTATGTAGTATATATCCTCAATTATTGATAGAGCTAACCAATTTATTGAAACAGTAATCAGTTCTTTTTCATAAGAAAATATTAAAGCTATTTTTTGAAAAAAACTTTTAATCAAAATAAGAATCTACACTTTCAGCAGATTCAATTACCGCGACTGAAAGTTTATTTTATGTACTGTCAAATTTTGAAACATCAATGTAATGGAACAGGAAGGTTACTTCCGATATTGGGCGCGACGTGTGAGTATGACATAAGATTAAAATACTTTCGTCGGCGGACATCAAGGACGACATCATCTCTTGGGAAGCGTTTTATTTCAACGCTGTAGCACAAAGTTAGAAACGGAAATATGTATACGTATTATAGAAAAGTATTACATTTTTCATAACTATCTCGATAATTTAAATGGTAAATTGCTTGCAGATTTCAGGTTTAAAAAAAAGCCAAAAATGTATCAGAGCATGATTTAAGTAATTTTTAAATAATTAAAGGAATTGATAAAAAAAATAAAAATTCAGATTTATATATAATGAAAAATAAAAGAGAATTATAAAAATAAGGATCTTACTTAAATATCTTTATTTAAATATTAAGTAAAATAAGTTATTCATAGAGACAAATTCTCGATTACGCTACTGATAAATTAAAGAAATAGTTTATTAAAAGAAATGTAACATTCATAAAAAAAAAGATTAAATAAAATTAAATTTAAGTAAGATAAAAAGATTTATAAGTAAAAGATTAAAAATAACCTAATTAATAAACGAGAAACATAATTTGCTCATTTGTATAATTCACTCTAAAAAAAAAATTTAATAATAAGCGGTAACTATTTTACTATATGCAATGATAAAAGAAAATTATAACCAAAAAAATTACGTATTTATAAAATAAAGTTATTACTCTACGAAGATTGTTCTTTTATAACAGATAAATCAATTGCACACAAGAATAATGTATATTACTGATCTTTTATCAGATACAAGTCCACAGAATAGAAGTGTAAATAATAAATAATTAATTAACATAAATAATCAACGCATGAAATATAAAACATCAATATATAAAACATCAATTAGAAGATTGAAAACATGAAATAACAAGTTTCAATCTTTGTTTACAGGTTTCTGTGACTTTGATAGCGGTGTGAAAAACTACAAAGTAACAAAATGGCTGCGTTTGTGGCGAAGCAGATGGTCGGAAACAAGCTCAATGCGGTTAAAGGTACGTGATTTTAAAGAATGTTTTTTTTCGATTGTATTTCAAATTATATTTTCTTTTGACAATTAATTAGCTAATTTATTTTTTACCTCAGTAATTCGAATTATTTCATGACATCTTTCATATCTTTCATGTCTGTGTCAGCATATTAAATGTAAATAAAAGAGAAAAATAAACTGTGATCTTCAATGTGTCTGTAAAAATCTGGAAACGCGAATATCTCAGACTAAACGTTTTATCGCGATCACGAACGCCGCTTTTACGATAAAATTCAATCGTAACTGTAAAAGGAAATGCTTTAAAGACTTCTCGGAATTCCTTTCTATCCACGCCAGTTTCAGCGAGACGTGACTCGTTGCAAATTTGTTTGCCGCCATCTTGGATAGACTCCGAGCGGAACATTACACTACTCGATTATTTTGACATGAGGTATTCAATTTATCTTTCTTGAAAAAAAAGATAAAAACTCAAATATTAAAATTATTGTAAGAGCTGTTCATTTAGCTTCTAACTACTATAAATGACAGTATTCATTCATAAATAAATATGTGAGATAATCGAGTAGTTAAAAATCTTTAAGACTGAAAGTGCAATATTTTGAACATGTTATGCCTGGCACGTCGTGTATCAGCACGTTTTGCTTATGCAATTATCGTAAAACTGGATGGATCAGCATGCAACTACTATGGCAGTCCTTGCAGCTATTATAGCCACGAGCATCTGCAGTAAAATTGCGCTATCTTTCCATACATGCACATAGCCTTCGGAGTCTTGTTCGTGTTTATCGTTGTATTGGAGCTATTACGACGAAACATAATGTTTCGGAAATTCTCTATACGATTAATTTTCCTGTTGTAACACCCTTAGAGCATTTTCAACGAATGCATAATTAATACAGAGCTTTTCAAAATATATTATTTTTAGAAATCAAGTCTTGCAAGAGATAATAATGAAGGATTATGATAAAGGAAGCAAAATTTCAATTACAAAATGGAATACAATACATAATGCAGAGATATTCAGTATAAATATTGTTTCTTCTTTTTTTCTCTCTTTGTAACAAAGAGTATATACAATAATTTACAACGTGAGCATAACTGGTTATTATTTTTTGTTAATATGAAACGTTAACATTTTCAAATTTTGACCGCAATTGCGATTAGAAATTAGTTGAAAATGATAGATAAACGTACCTGTAGAGACAAACCGCGATGCCCTGTTCGTTCGTTCGTTCGCTTCTAGGATGTCGGCGGATTGAACGATGGCCGGCAATAAAACTTCTGTCATTAAGCGAAAGTTTCAGCTTTCGTGTGCGACGAAGCGGGGAAGCGTGTCGCGGGGAATCCATAATGGGAAAAGCGGGGGAAATGGGACCTTCCTTACAAATCGCGAACTCGACATCTACTTTGAATTCTTCGTCCATTTGAGAGACGGGGAGAATAGTTTTATAAAATAGAATAGATGGATATGATGTAGAACAGTAAACTTCCTCTTTGTTATTTTATACAATGTTTCGGGAAAACTTTCTCTTGTTCCTTCGAAATGCTTAACAAAATTGATAGGCAAACTGCAATATAAAATTTTTGTAGGAGATTTTAACATGCAAATGTGCCGAATTAATGTATATATATTCTTTTTGAAATCTATATATATAAAAACTACATATATGTATATATTGAGCTAAACAAAATATCTATGTATAAGAATTATAAATAAATATAAAAATCAAAACGAATCGTGAACGAACGTGACTATGATTAAAAGGGAAATTAGAAATGAATATAATAGTGGAAGAGAAGAAATCGGCAACCCAGACTAATTGCAGAAGCCAGGTTCAATAAAAGCCCACAACGGTTTTCCAAACTGAGCTGCATTTAGAAGTTTGGGTGAGTGTCTCGTTTCTCTTTCCTCTTCTGTCCTTTACTCCGAAACTCCAGCAGCTTTTTCGTTGCCTACGGAGGTTAATTGACATCCCTCTAATCGATCGACCGCGACCTATGGTATCGAAAACCTAACTACGATGAGTTGATGAAATGCCAAAATAAAAAAGAGATAGATGAATCATGAGACTTTTTTTAATAAAAACATAGGATAAGATTAAATAATTGTTTTTCACATAATTGTTTTTGTTTCCATGATTTATTGATTTAATTAACTTGCCTAACTTTTTAATTCTCAACATTATTTGAACAAATACTTAATACGATAGTGCGACATATATTATCGAACTTTAACAAGTACCATTACTTGAATTAAAGGTGTTTATTATGGACATTACCATTTAATCAATAAACTGAACTATTCGACGTTATCGCGATATGACAGACAATTACCTCAATTAATTATGCGCTTCGTGATTTATTCGAGGAGATAACATGGGTATTTATATCGACGAATCATCGTGATAATACGGCTGTCCCTCATCCCTTTGATGTCAACAGAAATCCATTTTTAAAAATAATGCGGATTGCGATCGTTGAAAATCGAAAGACCGAAAAGACCTCGAGGAACAACGTATACAAACCGTATTGTGTAATGTCGCAATTCGGCAGAAATTTTCCGAATAATTTCGACCGCGTACAGCATACAGAGATCGTAATTTATGTCCCAGATACAATTACACAGTTGCCTGAGATAATTAACATAATGATGTCACACACTCGTACGAGACAGGATACCTTAATTGCGGAACTTTCGCTCGTCGTTAACGATTTCCTCACGCGCGATATACTTGTTGCAATACAACAGTTGTGATACAATTACTCCTAAAAGTCGGACCAACATCGATTGTATCGAGCGATTTCACTAAGAGCCGTATAATTACACATTGCAGAATTTTCAAGTGAACATTTGATGGAAATAAATGTGCTTGACTTTTAAAATTGAACATTCTCTAAATAAATTTTTCATGTCCACAACTCAAAAATGTATGCGTGTATTTTTTATTAATAAATTTCAGTTGGAATTCAAGATTTATTTCTCTAGATATTTAAAATTGGAAAATTACGGGGAAATGGTGAAACTGACATAAAGTAATTTGCATCGCAATATTTTCTACAATAACATCAGAATTTTAAGTAACGTGTCAATATATAATACAAGTCAATTTAGTAATTAAATATTTGACGTTCCTGCATTTGCAAATTATTCGTTAAATGTAGAATATTATTGATAAAATGCGGGAGCAAATGTGCCACCGTCGATTAAATGAATAAACGTTTAAAGATTTGTTAGTTAATATGATTGAGTTTCATTAAATGAAAAAAATATTGCTTTCATATATCTATGTTTCATATCATCAGACAAATTTTAAATTTTTTACTGCGATATCGTTTACTATTAATAATGAAAAACTTTTATTCGATAAAATTATTAACCAATCATCACTGTTTCAAGATATCCAACAGTGCATCTACTTTAATTGAAATCTCGTTTTGTAATATTCGACTAACGATTTGTCATATGATAGGGGAATGAAAACGAGGAACGTATGGCGGCGCAATCTGTCGGAGAAACGAGCAAAAAAGCTCGATATATTTCGTGCTTGCGTTTTTGCGGTTGGACGTACCGATCGATCGTTCCAGTTTTTTTTGGTTCGTTAAAAAAAAAAACCTCATAGGGGATTTTATAAGAAATAACTTCGTTACGTGGAGTAGAAGGAAAAATAGAAAATTTGGACGCGAGAGCAATGACGCGACGAGATTCCATAATTTTCAGCTGCTTAATCGAGAAATTCTTGTAATCCGACCATTGGGCAAGTTAAAAAAAGGCTCTATAATAAGAATTGGGCGATACTTTTAAGACATTCTATTTAATTTTCATTGAATGATTTATTCTTTAATGATAGAGACATCGATTACTAATGCTAAAAATATGATGAGATGGAATTCTCATATTGCGAACTTTTTATCAGACGTACATTACTAGGAGGAAGTTCTGTCTGAAACATCGCTTTTTCCGTGCGTGTATTGAAATTTTCGCCGCCGTTGCTGCGGCCGAGTTACGTGTATTTCTATGCGAGTCGATTTATAGTGATTTCACATTACATACGACCGCTACGTTTAGCGATATTTAATTAAATCCCGTCTGGTAGGCGGAAACTTCTGTCGATAGTTCGAAACAGTTTGCAACCACTCTTACCACGGCCATCGGCCACGGTTCGCGGCGTGAATGGTCACGTGAACACAACAACCGTTATTTAGAAAGATCAGAATGTCCAGATAATGTGTGAGTCGTTTTGTATAACAAGAAAAATTCATATTCGACAAAAATATGAAACATGCAGGATTGTTTGAATAGGAGGTTGGATGGAAGAAGATTGATACGTGTTTTAGCAAATGAAATAATAATAACTTTATTGCTTACGTATAAAATTGGTTACGTATAAAATTGGTTAGTAATAATAGTTAAATATAAAAAACACAAAAGCAAAAGTTTTTTATACGTTAAAAGTAAAAACATCGAGCAAAGTTGTTATTATATAAAGACCTATAATATATACTGAAAAAAAATGAACTTGTTTCAATAGCATTTATTTTAATTGAAAATAATCTTGTTTATAACAACAGTTATTGATAAAACAAATAAAATTTTATTAAAACAAGAGCATAAGTATTTATTTTATTAATGGTGTTATCGAATTAACAAAATTATTTTCAATTAAGATAATGTTGTTGAACACATCATTTTTTTTTTCAATGTAATAAAAATATCTTAATGAGCATGTAAATAAACAGAGCGAATTACAAAACAAGTAATTAAAACAATAAAAAAGAGTAAATTCTTGCAATATTGATTTTATAATGATTGATATTTTTTCACGAAGATATTTCCATGGATTATAACAATAAAGATTTTTCTTTATCTGTTGTAGTAATATACTTTTTTATGACGCGCTGTCTCGTTATACGTTCAGCAGTACAGCTAGTCACTGCCGCGATGCGACGATTTTCTTCCACCTTTTACATAATTTCATTAGAAGGGTCGAGTTAGTTTCATAAGCG